TCTCTCGCAGGTAAAAGCTCAAGTCACAATGACTCATATGGATTTCAATAATAAAGGATTGGTTAGAACAATTTCTGCATAATATTTGAAGGATGACAAACATCAAATATGTCGGCCAGTTGCTTTACTGACAACTTAGACCTTCATCATTTAGGTGAGCGGCCAGGAGCCATCTAGTTTCTTAAGCAGCCACAAGAGGGAGCTACAGGCCTACGCACTCGGCTCTAATTAGGCCCTCCACTTCCTTTAACAGTACCATTCCCTGGGTGGCTATTTGTTTCATTTCAACAGTCTTCGTCTACCAAGCAGGTTGCTGGTGGTTCTCAGTGTTCCCGACCACTCACGTGCTATTCTTCCTGATGCTGGAGTTCAATTCGAATATTGGGCTAAAATTTCTTGAGTTTTGCACAAGTCAATGGCAATAATGCACCCACCATGGCTTCTGTGATAAGGAAGTAGGTGGCCTTTTTCTCGAGGGCATTGTTACTCCAAATCCCTCTATTGTGATGTCTTCTCCACAGAATTTGTCATGGCTGACATGGATGAATGCTTTCTGGGTCCATCTCTGCTTTTCAGACTGTATGTTGGTCCTTGCCACTGCACTTAGGAAGTGGGTCTAGGATACTGAGCCTAAGTAAGTAAAGGGTATGGGGTGACCAGCTGGGAGTTAATGCTAGCCTCATTCTGGACTCTTCTATAGGCTCAGATCCTCTTCGAAAGCTTTGAGGATAAACAGAGCTGTAGCAGAAGCTAGCACGGGAGCTGAAATCACTGAGATCCCCATTTTGGCTTTGAACTTTAGACCTCCTTTGTGCCGTGAGTAAGCAGCACTTATCTCTATGTAATCACTTTTTGTATGGAAAAGATGCAGGCTGATCTTTTAGAGATGAAGGCATCATGCCATCAATTCACAGGGAGCTAAGACTACTACAGAGCTACTGCGGCCCCTGGGAAACTAAAAATCAAACTGATAATGGGGCCAGCAGGTGGCATGGTGATTAAGAACACTGGACTCCCACATGGCTGCTGTGGTTGAGTCCTAGACCTGATGGTGGCTTGCTTTCTCACTCTCTCTCTCAAATTCAATAATAATAATAAATAAAAATAAATAAACAAAAAATCAGACTGATGACCTAACAGGTGAGATACCTGACCCACAATGGCATCCTTACAGGTCAATGCTGAGTTTAAATTGCGTTTTAAGTTGTCTAGGTCAGAGAATCCTCCCAGGTCGCATGGCACCTAACACAATAGTGCCTGGGTTAGCAACACCCAAGGACACGTCAGCCTCACTCCTACTGGTCCTAATTCCACTCTGAAGAGATTTTCAGGAAGGAGGAAACACAGATATTCTAATTTGACTTTCTTTTCCAGTGCTTCCATTATCCAAATATAAAGGGAATTAAGTGCATGCATGGCCACATGAGACCGTCTTTGCTGAGAGGTCCTATGGTTTTCCTCCTGCTTAATTCTAGCTGATTCACTAGGTCTTCCG